CGTTCTATCTTTGCAATCGCGCCCCAGCAAACAACGTACATGCAAAATTCGAATTTGTCTCGTCGAGAGTTTTAAAATAAGTATAAACATGCCTATATTCAAGCGTATTTGAAATTTTTCAGAAAGTGCGCTCTATTGAGAAAAATGGAAAAATCGTCATAACTTTGTTCATTTTAAAGAAAAAAGAGTGATTTTTAAAGCTTCATACGTAAAATTTGTAGCGTTTCAAAATGACACTAATTTTGTTCAGAAAACCAAAAATTTACACCACCTCCCCCTTTATCTCCTCCTGAAGCCAAATGCGTTATCTTAAAGCGTTTATATCTCAAAAACTAAGAAAACTATCAAAAAGTTCTTAACTACAAAAATGATCTACATAACATTTTACATCTATTCCAGTTTTTACTTTCTTCCTAACGTTCTTAGTTTTTGAGATACAAATCTTTGAAAAATCGAAAAAAATTTTAATTCCAGATCCCTCCTCCTCTGCTCGAAGAACATTCTGTTTCCATGGCAACTTGGTCAGAAGTCCCTATTCAAGTTATCCAGCCTTCAGAACCTTCAAAATCTGATTCTGGAGAATATGACAACTTTTGATCCTCGATTTCTAAAATTGCCCACTAGAAATTTGGCAAGTTTACAATTTCGACTAGATCCCAGACATCGAATGGAGTTGGATCAACTGCAAGTGTCTCCGATAGATGGTATTGATTCATTGATTTTTTGATTTATCGATTTTTTCAAGCAGGTTCCCTTCTAAAGACTCTTTCCGCGGCATCTGTGTACCGGTTGGATTTCTCCGCGTATTCTGAAGTTGCTCAAGTGGTGACATCCATTGATGCAGTGGATATGTGTTATTTTATAGAGGTATTAGATTTGAAAAGCTCTAAAAATTAAGACAATTACAGAGCTGGCACTTTTCCCCCAAACCATGGATCATTAAAGGCATTTCATTCAATTCTCAAGTCTCCATTGACGATTTTCGATTGGCAGCTTATAAGATTTTGCCGTGAGTCAGCTAACTATAGCTAGCGAACGCTCAAAAAAGGTTGTAAAAAAAGAAAAAAAGGAATGAGCCAAACCGGGAATTGAACCCGGTACCTCTCGCACCCAAACACAGGTAGAGGGGGATTGCCGAAAAACGGCCCGTCTGGCGGGCGCGGACTGCCGAAAAGCGAACAGTCGGCAGTCGAATCGCGCGCCGCCGACGGTCCGTCTGTAACGATTTGCGCCTCGAAGACGGACCGTCAAAAATGATAGCGCTTTCTTGACAGTTCATCATTAAACAGGTAATAAACAATAGAAATTCTTTATTCAACTTATAGTTTCTGTGGATTTTTCTGTGGATTTTGTGCAGTTTTTCAGCAGTCCCCCTCGGGGGAGGCGCAGAGAAAAAATTATTGATTTTTACAGGTCGAACTTCGCTATACCATTTCCGTACTGCCGTTTTCAAACCTGTCATCGAAAATCAATTGATATTGTGTTAGAAGTGGCTTGTTATGCGAATGGGGTAGGAAAATTTGAATTTTCCGCCAAACCACTTCTCTAAAATTCTCAAATTTCAGACCGCAACCCAGTGGATATTCCGTACCGGTCATTTGAATTCTTGCTGATCTAAAAAAAATGTTTTTGCTGCATATTTTTTCGAATAAACGGGTTTTTTTTTGAAAATTTTCTTCCAGAATTTTATAGCGCGTATATCTCGAAAACTAGAATAGCTAAAAAAAAATTTTCAACTAACAAAATGTCAGATATTTTATAAGCTATATTTTTGTAGTTGAAAATTCTTTGCTAGCGTTCTGGTTCGTGAGTTATGAGCGTTTTAAGATAGCGCACTTTTTTTGCCTGCTAGCGACGAGGGAACAGGAGACGCAGAGAAGCGAGAGTACTCAGCGCCTCCGCGCCACTAAAAAGTGCGCTAACTTCTGGAGCTTATATCTCACGAACTATCAGAGCTATCAAAAAGTTTTCAACTAACAAAATGTGTGAAATTTTAATAGCTACATTTTTGTAGTTGACAATTTTTCGCTAGCCTCGCTAGTTTTCGAGATAAATGCGATCTAATGAAAATTCTCAAAATCATTTTTAACAAGACGAAGACTTCATTTTAGTTCAAAAAAGGATCCGAGCTTTTGAAAGAGTTTTCTGATTCATTTTTTTGGAAAAAATCGAATTTCCCCCCTAAGCTCCGCCCACTTTTTTCAATTTCCGGAAAAATAAATTCTCGTTTCCGGAAATTCCTAAATTCTCATTTTTCCATTTATTTCATTTTTCATTCATTTTCACACATGACACCAATTTTTTCTCTAGCGACTTTGCTCATTTTCGGCCAACTTCCAGGTGATTTTTATTGATTTTTTGAAAATTTTGAATTCCCGCCGGGCGCGTCGCGTGCCTGCGTCGCGGTCGCTAATGCAAATTGGCTTAAATTTCGCTAATTTTGCGTTCTTTTTGTTGAAAATCGGACAAGATTCGAGTGCGACAGAGTGCTTTTAATTTTGGCGGGAATTCGAAAAAAATATTTTTTTTTTGAAATTCCAGCTTTAATCGATTCCATCCAATGCTGGAATTGTGTCGGAATCGATTGTGACACCTACCGTTCCTCTTCGAAAAACTGGGAGCTGGTGACGTGTCAAGAGGGAAGCGTCTGCCAGAAGACAGACTACAAATTCTACAGTAACCAGAAAAACCAATCGATCGATATTCATACGGTCAGGAGTTGCTCCTATGAGACAGGTAGTCGATTGATTATCGATTTTTTCTGGAATTTTCGAATTTTCTAGGTTGCACATGGGACCGGAGCAAAAGTTGCACGAAAAATCCCGTAGAATATGCCGGTCGCGGTTGCGTCGATCGATATTGCTGTGGGAGGGACAAGTGTAATTCCGGCAGTCGATCGATCGGAATATCGATCACTATTCTGATCATTTTCCTTTTTTAAAACGAAAAAAATGAAGTTTTCACCTTGTTAATATTTTTTGAATATCTTGAAAAATCTAATTTTCATGATATTTGAGGATTTTCAGAAAAATCGAAAATTCCAGAAAATCGATTTTTCGAATTTTCGAAAAATCTTTAAAATTCGCAAATATTCAGAAATCGAAACGTTTGAAATCCCAGAAAAATGAAAATTTGGAAAAAAAGTTAATTTTCGAAAAGGCGGGAAATTCGAAAAACCCTAAATTCAAATTTTCGAAATTTTCGGAAAATCCTGATTTCAAAAAATCTAAAAAATCGAAAATTTGTTTTTTTTGGAAATTTTCAAAAAATCCGACAATTTAAAATTTAAAAAGATTCAAAATTCCACAACATCCAAAATTCGGAAAAAATTCAAATTTTCAGAAAAATCGAGTAATCACAACCGAAATTTTTTCGAAAAATTTTCTGAAAATCTGGAATTTCCAAAAAATTTCAAAAAAGCAAAAAGTTTCAGAATTTTTAGAAAATGTTAAAATTTGGTTTTAACAAAAATTAAAAATTTCGAAAAAATTTTTGTTTTCGGACCTTTTTTGGGCTCTTTCAAGCTGCTTGTAGGCCAATGTCAGGCCTGTTTTTCCATTTTCAGCCAATTTCAGTCAATTTTTTTTCACTTCAAATTTTTCTATCATTTCAGTCACCACCTGGAAATTACATTTCTAAAAGCTTTCGGGAAAGAAATTCCGGAAATTAAAAATATCCAAAAAGTGGGCGGAGCTTACAAGCGGGGGTGGAATTCATTGGAAACTTTAAACTTTCAGAAGAAAAACGAAAAATAAGGAAAAAAATGCTGCAAAAAGGGGAAATTTGGGGGAAGCGAGAGAGACAAAAAAATCGATAATTGTCATAATCAAGAAAAAAGGGGGCGGGGCCATAGATAATTAGGGGCGGGGCATAACTAATGGGGGGGGGGGGGGCATTTCACAACCACCAGGGCAAACGATAGGGATTACTGTAGATCGATCTACAGTAATTTTCATATTTTACAGGCGAGAGAAGAAGAAGAGAAAGCGATAGGAAGGGAGAACAGTCAATTTTCGAAATTATCGATTTTTATGAAAAAAGTCAATTTTGTCTGAAAATCGCAATTTTCAGCGGCACTCCCAAACTTTGCATGACATGTCGACACTTCCAGTGATCACGTATGGATTCGTTTGGTGGAATGCTGAAAATTTTAAATTCAGGGTTACTGTAGCACTTTTTGGGTTTTGGGTTACTGTAGTTAGTTTTTTGGGTTACTGTAGCACTTTTTCGGGTTTCTTTAGCAATTTTTTGGGTTACTGTAGCAATTTCTTGGGTTACTGTAGTTAATTTTCAACGATTATTTAGCTCGAAAAAATGAGATTTTTCAAGCAATTTGGAGGCAAAAAAAACTACAGTACCCCAAAATTTTGAAACATTTCAAAAAAATCGATAAATCGATAAAAACCGTACCAACTGTTGAAACGAAGTGCTCGTGTGCCTCGATGGCCTTCATACACCGTTGAGCACTCAACTCCCAGATTCGCATCATCTTATCATCGGCCACTGATACCAAATACTGCAAAAAAAAACACGATTTTCAGCCATTTTTCTAATTTCATGACCCAATTTCATGACCATTTTTTCATGACATGACTATTTTTGGGTCATGACCTAATTTTTTCTAGGCCATGACCTAATTTTTTAAGGGCATGACCTAGATATTTTCTAGGTCATGACCATTTTTTCACGACAATTTTTAGGTTATGACCTAATTCTTTTCTAGGTCATGACCTATTTTTCATGACTTTTTTTTTCATGACCATTTTAGGTTATGACCTAGATTTTTCAGGTGTGACTTAATTCTTTCTAGGTCATGACCTAGATTTTTCTAGTTTTTTCCAGGTCATACCCTACTTTTTTCTAGGCCATGACAATTTTTTCATGACCATTTTTTTCATGACCTAATTTTTTCTAGGTCACGGCCTAGATTTTTTCAATCTAGTATTCGCAGGGTCCCCTCTAACAGAAGAGCATGCTCTTACCTTTCCCTTCGGATGGAACGCCAATCCGCGAACCCAATTCTCGTGAGCCGATAGGGTGAAAATCACTTCGCCAGTGCTGATATTCCACGCCTGAAAGACAAAAAAACGGGGTTTTGGGTTACTGTAGTTTGTTACTATAGGTTACCGAATTTCAGCTTTTTTAGTCTGAAAATTTCAGAAAAACTCACTTTGATGCTTCTGTCACGACTGCCACTGAACAGAATGTGTGTGGAATTGCCTTCGGGTTCTGGAAATATCGATTTTCAGTCTATTTCAGCCTATTTCAGGGTCATTTTGGTCCAATTTTCTAGCCTATCAGGCCAAAAATGGACCATTCTAGAGGGTTTTTGGGAGTTTCTAGGCCAATTTAGACCGATTTTTGATATTTAAAGGACGAATTCGGACCTATTTTCGACCTTGTCAGCCCGAAAATGGACCATTTTAGGCCTAAATTCGGTCATTTTTATGCCATTTTTGGGCAAAATTAGACATTTTTAGGACATTTTAAGTCAAAATAGGAGCATTTTAGATGAAAAGTTGGTTGACAATTTAAGAGAATTTTGGGGGTTTCTAAACCATTTTTGACCGATTTTCGATATTTCATGGCCGAAATTGGACCAGTATTGACGATTTTTGGGTCATTTCCGGACAAAATGTACCATTTTAGGCCTAAATTCGGTCATTTTTATGCAATTTTTAGGCAAAATGTACCATTTTTCGATATTTTTAGACCTAAATTGGACCATTTTCCATCTTCTCAGCCCGAAATTCACCCATTTTATATGAAAATTTAGCAATTTTAGATGAATTTTAGGATTTTTTAAGGCTAAATTTGGACTATTTTAGGCGTGAATTAGGTCATTTTATGCCGTTTATGGGCAAAATTGGACTATTTTAGATGATTTTTAAGATTTTCTAGGCCATTTAAGTCCGATTTTCAGACAATTTCAAGCTAATTTCAGGTCATTTTGGTACCGATTTGAGTCGATTGTAAGCTCAAAAATGTCTTTTTGACACTTTTCAGTCAATTTTAAGCCGATTTCAATGGATTTTAAGCCAGAAAACGTCATTTTTCGACCTTTTCAGCCAAAAAAAAACCCACGCCGTCCCGTCACATTGGTATACGCCGACTCTGGTGCCCACTCGACACACTCCACCGCATGCTCATGATCTCGAAGTACCAATTTCGCTGCTTTCGTGGCAAAGACCATACGGAAACCGTTTGATCCAGACTTCCCGATGCGAAGAGCGTTCCGTCGTGCGAGATACGAATCATTCGGACCCAATCGTTGTGGCCGCGGAATGTGAACACACAGTAGCCGGTGGAGATCTGGAAATTGAATTTATTGAAAAATAGGCTGAAAATTGACTGAAATAGGGCCCACGATTCAAGGGTACATCGAAAAAAGGTACATCGAGGGTACATNNNGTNCTTANGGTNCATTGNTTCTNANGGTTCATGGGATCTTATACTGTAAGGCGTTTTAGCCTAAACCTATAATTTTGAGCAGAAATCAAAATAGTATGTATAAAAATATTGATTGACTTTTTTTGTCCACCTACATGTACAGAACAATCCAATGTACCCTTGGAACCAATGTACCCTTAGAACTCGATGTACCCTTTTTCGATGTACCCTTGGATACTGGGCCCTGAAATAGGATTGAAATGGTTCAAAAATTGTCCGATATTGACTAAGAATGGGTGAAAATGGCCCAAAATAGTCAAGAATAGGCTTAAAATGACCCAAAAATGGTTCCAAATGAACATGGCCGCTGTTTGATGGCCTTGAAACCTAAACAGCTTCTAATTTGGTCAAAAATTGACCCAAAATAGTCAGAAATAGGCTTAAAACGAGCCTAAAAATGCCTAAAAAGAGCTAAAAAATGATCCAAAATAAGCTAAAAATTGTCAGAAATAGGCCTAAAATCTTAAAAAGTTAGCTTAAAATGCCTCTAGATGGTCCAAAATGGGCTAAAATGGTCCAAAATTTGCAAGAAATTGTCTAAAATCGGCTTAAAATGATCCAAAATAAGCTTAAGATGACTCTAGATGGGCCGAAATGGGCTAAAATTGGCTCAAAAAGGGTCCAAAAAAGGCTCAAATCGCTTAAAATAGGCTAAAATTATCTAACTTGGGGTCAAAAACTACCTTAAATTGCTCGAAAATGGCCAAAAGTTGACCTAAAATGGCTCAAAACGGTCCAAAATTGGTTGAGACGAGTCAAAAAGGACCTAAAACGGCTCGAAAATGGATCCAAAATAGCCCAAAATAGGCTCAAATCGCTTAAAATAAGCTAAGATAGGCTCAAAATGACCCCAATATGCCTAATCTATGTCAAAAATAATCTTTAATTGCCTAAAATTCGCCTAAAATAGCCTGAAATCAGCTGAAAATGGTCTAAAATTCGCCAAAAAATCCAAAAAACTCACATCCCACTGCTTAATCGTATGATCCCGGCTGGCGGAGAGCACAAAATCGCCCGTTGGCAGGAAGGTGACCGACGATACAGTATGCTCGTGTCCTTTCAGCGATTTCAGACAATCGTACGACTGACCAAAGTCCCACAGTTTGATTGTCAGGTCCGTCGAGCAGGATACTGTAATTTTAGCGGCGTTTTTAGTGGTTTTCAGCCGTTTTAAGGCCTTTTAAGGCATTTCAGGTCCTGTTTAGGTCACTTTCATGCATTTTGAGGTCATATTTGGCCTTTTTTGAAGGTATTTTCATGATTTTTAGACCACTTTTCGGCATTTTCAGGTATTTTAAAGATTTTTTTAGTGAGTTTCAATAACTTTTAGGCTCTTTTAGGCACTTTTTAGGCCCTTTTCAGGCTTTTCCTCTTACCCAATTGCTTTCCAGCCGCATCGATAGCAATATCGTTGACGGCATCCGTGTGTCCCTTGAGTGTCTTCTCCAGTTGTCCCGTTTCGTAGTCCCATACCTGCAAGGATAAGGGGTTTTCTAGTCCACCATAACTCGGCCATGCCATGGCCGCCATGGGGTTTTCTAGGCCACGAGATCAGGTTTTAGGTCATTTCGGGCCAAGAATCGGCCATATTAGGGATTTTGGGGGGTTTTCTAGGCCAGGAGCTGATATTCTAGGCCACCAAAACCCGGCCATGTAGAGATTTTGGGGTTTTTAGGCCACTAAAACTCGGCCGTGGGGTTTTCCAGACCATCTATGAGGTTCCTAGGCCACCAAAACTTGGCCACGCGATTTCTAGGCCATCTATGAGGTTTTCTAGGCCATCGGTGAGTTTTCTAGGTCACTAGGTTGCCCACGGGGGTTTCTAGGACATCAAAACTCGGCCATGGAGAGATTTTGGGGTTTTCTAGGCCACCGACATTCGGTAACCGATTTCTAGGCCATCATCTAGTTTCTAGGCGGCAAAAGTTAGGTCAGCTGCAATTTTCTAGGCTATAGAGGTTTCTAGGCCACCAAACCTCGGTCATGTAGAATTTTCTAGGTCATAGAGGTTCCTAGGCCACCAAAATTCGGCCAGCAGTGATTTTCCAGGCCACACAGGTTTCTAGGCCATCAAAACTCGGCCATGTGATTTCTAGGCCATCTAGGTGGTTTCTAGGCCTTCTTTCTTAATTTCTAACCATTTCCGACGCTCATTTTTGCATTTTTACGGCCATTTTGTGTATTTCCGGCTAATAAAACCCCATAAAAACCTTAATAGTGGCGTCCTCTGAGCAGCTGGCCATAATGGTCCATAACGGATGAAAAATGACGCGGGTGACCGGAAGACGATGTCCGATGAGCTTCTGCGTCTCCGGTGGACGGGGAATCCAGTCGGCCGCCTGTCGTTTGTCTCTGAAACATTGATAATTGGGGATTTTGGGGCTGAAAAGGGCTGAAAATGTGATTTTTGACCGAAAAAATTGGTATTTTCAGCCGTTTTTAGACAATTTTGGATAATTTTTCTAAATTTTCAGTGTTTTTGGCCATTTTCAGCCCATTTTGCATTAAATTTTCGAGATTTTTAGCTTTTTCTAGCTATTTCCTGCCATTTTCAGCATCATTTCTTGAAAATTTTTTGTGATTTTGGTCTAAAAATGCGAAAATGTCAATTTTTGGCCATTTTTATCAGGTTTTTGGTCGTTTTCAGTCAATTTTAGGCCATTTTTTCTGGATTTTCAGCCGACAAAACTGCTGAAAATGAGCAAAAAATGCTGATTTTCAGCTTTCTGGGCCATCATAGCCAACTTTGGGCTGCTTTTTCTGAATTTTTAGTTATTTTAGTGTTTTTTAGTTGAGAAAATCTGATTTTAGGCCATTTTTCAGACATTTTCAGCTTACTTTTGGATCATTTTTCAAGTTTTTCTAGCAGGGAAAACGCTGCAAATGAGCAAAAATGTGGATTTTTGGTCATTTTCAGCCAATTCTAGACCATTTTTTCCAGATTTTTGGTCATTTTTCTGGATTTTTCAGCTATATACGCCATTTCCAGCCCAAAATCACCTCGTCGGCGCGCCATGATTGATTTCCTGTTGTGATTCGAGCAGTTTCGCCTCCAAATCGTTGACTTTGCGTTGAAGTCGAAGTACCGTAGTCCACTTCTTCTCCAGAATGCCGCCCAGTGGTTTGATATCGTTTTCGCTCTGGAAATGTGGGGTTTTGGCTGAAAATGCTTGTAAATGCAATGTTTGAGCTAAAAATGGCTTTTAAGGGCCAATTTTGAGCTATAAACGTGATTTTTGGCTGAAAAATCGGATTTTTCAGTCAAAAATAGCGATTTTTGAGCGAAAAATGGCGTTTTTCGCTCAAAATCTTGCGAAAATTGGAATGTTTCGGCCAAAAATCGCAATTTTTCAAAAATTAAAGACTAACCAAGCTCGCCTCCTTGAGAAGCATGTTGAACGCCTCGGAGTATCCATTGTTCTGCAGATATTCGGCCACTGCTCGATTACTGTAAGAAATGTGGGTTTTTTCGGGTTTTTTACCCATTTTTGGGTCAGTAAATGACAAAAAAAAAATGAGTATTTTAGGCCAATTTTCTGGATTTTTCAGCCTAAAAATAGCTGAAAAATCGATTTTTTGAGCTAAAAATCATGAAAATTGAGTATTTTTGGCCAATGTTCGCGATTTTTAAGCCAAAAAATTGCTGAAAATTCGATTTTTAGGCCAAAAAATCATGAAAAACTACAATTTTGGGCATAAAGTCATTGTAAATTATCTAGAATTTTCGCAAATTTTTGTAGGTTTTTTTGAGATCTTTATGGTGATTTTAAGCCAAATTTCGCGATTTTTGAGCAAAAAACTGCTGAAAATTCGAATTTTTTGGAAAAAATCCATAAAAGTCAGTATTTACAGTTTTAAGCCAATTTTTTATGGTTTTTGAGCGAAAGTTGCGAAATTTGTCATCTTTTTTTCGTTTTTTTTTGGTTTTCTCTACTCAAAATAGCCGCAAAAAGAAGAAGAGAAAATTCAATTTAAAATAAAAATGTGTCGCTCGCTTTTCCCATAAAATTGGCTCTTCAGAAGACGACAGAAGACGTCGGACCGACGACGACACTTACATTTCCTCTCGTTGCCTCTCTGACAAACTCATTTTTGTTTTGTAGAGGAGGAGACGACGGCGAGGAGAAGAACAAGAAGAAGAATATCTGAATTAGAGGAAAATGGGTGAAAATCGATGGAAAATTAGAGAAAAAGCAGGGAAAATAATGAAAAATAGGCTGAAAATAGCTTAAAAATCAGAAAAATGGTGAAAAATCAGGGAAAAATCGGGTAAAAATCCAGAAAAATTATTTATTAAATACGACCGAAAATGGGAGAAAATCGATGAAAAATGGCTCAAAAATCAGAAAAAATATGAAAAATAAGCTGAAAATGATTAAAATTCTTCATTAAATGACAAAAATCCAAGAAAAATCGGCGAAAAATACTGAAAAACGTTTTTCAGCAATTTTAGGTGATATTCTATGGATTTTAAGCTAGTTTAAGATGGAAAATGATGAAATTTAGCTTTAAAAAGTTTTTGTTCATTGAAAAATTCCAAAAAAATAGTTTTTAAAGGAGAAAATCGCTGAGAAACCCTTAAAAATAGTGAAGTCTGCAGAATACCGTAAGATCTTGGGCACAGTGCACCGCTACGCAAAAATGCACAGAGGAGAATTTTCAGCAATTTTTGGCTAAAAATGGGTCGTTTTCTGGTGAAATTCCATCAAATTTAACAGAATTTTTATCTAAAAAATCGAAAAGTGCTTGAAAATCCTTAAAAATTGGCTAAAAATCGATTTTCGGCCTTTTTTAAGCCATTTGGTTCAGTTGAAAAAAAACTAGATCACAACAAGATTAATAAGAGATTTAAGTCTGTGTTTATGTGTGAAAATTTTTTTTCGGTGATCAAAAAAATCGAATTTTTGAATTTTCATAGATTTTTGGAGATTTTCAGCAATTTCTAGATAGAAAAACTGCATTTTTCAGCGATTTTTGAGTGATTTTCCTATTAAAAAACCAGAAAAATCGATTTTTGAACCTATTTCAACACATTTTTTACAACAATATAGAAATATTTTTATTGAAAATAATGGATTTTTAAAATATAAATAAAAAAGAAATTTCTGAGCAAAAAGAAACGAAAAAAAGCATCTTCCGTCCAGTCCAGGCAGCCACAGCAGTGCGCGAATCGAACGAAACGATGACGAAACGAAGCAGCGGAGACGACAGGAGAGAGTGTGTGGAATGAAGAGACGGCAGACAGTCGGCGGGAGAGTGAGAGACGCAGAGAAAGAGGGGGGAGAAATGGTCGCGCGCGGAGAGAGCCGTCCCTTTCGCAAGAAAAAAGAAAACGATTATACACTTTTTGGATTGTTTCTGGAGGAAAAAAAGATTCTGATAGGGGGCGGAGCTTAGGAAAAAGTGATTTTTCCAAAAAAAATTTTTTTTCAAAAAAAGTTTTTTTTTCGCCTGAAAATGGGAGAGAACTCGCTGAAAATGACTGTAATTATATTTTTGAGCAACCTGAAAATGTGATTTTAATAATATCCTATGATTTTTGAAAAAGAAAATTGAAAATTTCGAAAAAATATTTTTTTTCGAATTTTTGTTTTTTTTTTGTAATTTCGAGATTTTTCACATAGTTTTTAGACATCCTGGAATTTTTAGAAACTCAAAATATTACGAAAATTTCGAAAAAAAAAATTGTTTTCGAAATTTCATTTTTTGCTGCTGACTCATCCATTTTTTCAGTTTTTTACCCAAAATTTCACCGGAAATAATAATGAATTTTTTTTAATTTCTGACAATTCGTTTCTGAAAAATCGGCATAAATGCCGAAAAAACCACCCAAAAACGCTGAAAACAACCCTTCAAAACCGCTTGTGTTTGCATTATACCGTAAGATCCTGGGCACACTGTACCCTAAGCAAAAATGCACAGAATCAGTTTTTCAGCGATTTTCAATGAATTTTGAGTTTTTTTTCAGGTGGAAAATGTTGAAAATCAGCTCTGAAAGTCTGCAAAATCGCTAAAAACTAGAAAATTTTAGTGGAAAATCGCTGAAAAACACCTGAAAAATTGACTAGTCTGCAGATTTACCGTAAGATCTTGGGCACAGTGCACCTGACGCAAAAATGCAGAGAGGAGGATTTTCTGCGAATTTCAACGAAAAATCGGTCATTTTCAGGTGAAAATCAATGAGAAAAAGCGGAAAATTAACGAAAATTTTTAAGAAAAAATCGAAAAAATAGCCAAAAATACACTGAAAATCATAACAATCGATGAAAAAATATAAAAGAAATTGAAAAAAAAAAATTAATGCCGGCCAATGAAAAAGATGCATTTTCCGGTATAACAAATGTAATCCTCGCTACAATCTGTATGTACTTCGCACGGCCTTCCTTCACTCTCATCGACACATTTCCCAGCTTCAAAATCACATTTTTGATTTTTTGTGCATTTTAATTTTTCGCAAATGTCCAATGGCTTGGTTGGATGGGATCGGGAGATTTGGAGAAGAGAGAGGAGAAGGAAAATCTTAATAAAAAAAATAAAAAATTCGGAAAATTTCGAAAATCCAAAAATTCTGAAATTCTGAAGTTCTAAAAAATTCAAAAAGTCCAGAATTCTAAAAATTCTGAAATATCGAAAATTGAAAAATTCGAAATTCTGAAAATTTCGAAAATTCGAAAATCCAAAAATTCGAAACCTCGAAAATTCAAAAATTCCGAAAAATTCCAAAATTTGGAATTCAAAAATTCAAAAAAATCAAAAATTCGAAAAATCAAATATCCAAAAATCCAAAAATTCAGAAAAAAAATTCTAAAATTGAAAAAAAATCAAAAAATCTTACCAAAACCCAAAATTTTGACATTTTCAAAATAGAAAAATTTTCGGAGAAAACAGAGAACAAATAGAAATTTGGTCTCTCTCATGTGGTCGTTCTTTTTATACAAAAAAGAAGCGAGAGAGTGAGAGAATTAGAGAAATCAGAGAAAAAAGGTGGTATGAATAACCATTTTGATGGTCTTTTTTCATGTGGGTGTTTGATGATAAAAGGACAAAAAGATAGAATTTTTGAATTTTTACAATTTCTGAATTTCCTAATTTTCACGTGAAGCAAAAAAACCAGGTTCTTTGTGGCAATTTCCTTTAGCCCCGCCCACTTTTGATGATCCTCCTGGAATTTTCTTTTCGCCGCCAAAACCACCAAATATTCGAACCGAACTGACTTGACGGATAATACACGAAATGTCGTTGAAGAGCACACTGAAGTCAAGAGCCGCCGTTCCGGCACCGTCTGGAAATTCTGGATCCGATTTCCAGAAACTTCATGTAAGGGCGGCAGGGCGAGCTAACTTTAAAAGCGCATATCTCAAAAACCAAAGAAGCTAGCAGAACTTGGTCAACTAATAAATTACAGAAAACTTTAAGTTTTTCATTTTTGTATCTAACAACTTTTTTATAGCTAGCATAGTTTTCGAGATATGCCCCTTTAAAGTTGGTGCATCCTCCACGGAGGGCGCAGGGAGCGCCAACTTTAAAGGCGCATACCTTAAAAACCAAAAGAGGTATCAAAAAGTTGTAAACAAAAAAATGTAGGAAATTTTATGACCTACATTTTTGTAGTTGATAACTTTTTATTAACTTTTCTAGTTTTTGAGATATGCGCCTTTAAAGTTGGTGCACCCTCCACTCTACGCGGCTGTCAGGAGGGCGCAGGGCGCATATCACAAGAACCACGTTAGCTACAAAAAATTTGTAAATTACAAAAATGGAGGTCATGAAATTTCCTACAGTTTTGTAGTTAACAACTTTTCAGTAACTTTTCTAGTTTTTGAGATATGCGCTTTTAAAGCTGGCTCCCTGCCTCCTTTAGCCGGATAGCGAACTTTAAAAGCGCATATCTTACGAACCACGCTAGCTACTCAAAAACTAACTCAACTAAAAAAATGTGTCAAATTTTAAGCTCTACATTTTCACAATTGACAAAAATTGTCGTTTTCCTCTAGTTCTCTCAAAAAAAATCCCAAATTTCCAGGACGACTTCGTCGCCTACTTGTACGCTGACCACGGCACGTTCTACAATGAGAATGTGAAGAAGCTGGAAGATGGGACCGGATCCAAACGGGAGATCTTTGCCTATGGACTGATTGCACTGAACTGTGTCTACATGATTCTCGGAAGTTGGGCGGAGTTAATGTGCAATTTGATTGGAGTCGCCTATCCGGCGTATGTCTCTGTTAAGGTTAGTTTTGTTTGTTGGATTTGAGAGGGATATATCTCTAAAACCAGATAAGATTACCTAAAAATGTTTATTACAAATTGTAGATCATAAAATTTCCTATATTTTGGTAGTTTAAACTTTGAAAATGATTTACTGGCTCAAGAGATATAGGCTTTCAAAGTTAAGAGACACCCTTGTTTTGGGTATGCTTTTTGGGTACACTAACTTTAAAGGCGCATATCTCAAAAATCAAAAAAAGTTGTTGAAAAGTTGTAAACCACAAAAATTTAGGAAATTTCATGATCTACATTTTGCTATGTAACAACATTTTTCCAGGCCATTCGCACCGTGGGAACCGACGACGACACTGTCTGGTTGATGTACTGGACTGTATTCGGCGCTTTTTCGATTATCGATTTTTTCGCCATGGCAATTATGTCGTATTTCCCAATCTACTGGGTTGCCAAAGCCGCATTCCTACTGTATTTGTACCTTCCACAAACGCATGGATCTCATGTGATCTACCATTCGATTATCGATCCATTGGTTGCTCATATGGAGAAGTCGTTGTCTGGAAAGCTTCCACCAAAACAGGTTGGATCTGTGGGACCACCACCTCCAGTTGCTGCTGCTCCTGCTCTTGATGAGAATAACAATGTGATGAAACCCTCTCAATAGGATCAAAGGGGGCGGAGCCTCAGTGAACTCGATCACCCATTCTGACTAGAAATAAATGTCGATTTTTTCTCACTTTTCAATTTTTTCAGAAATTTCGAAAATTCAAAAAATTGAAGTTTTGAATTTGTACTAAAAAAGAAAAGAGCTATATTTTAATAGTTGACTTTTGTTGGTAGCTACAGTAGTTTTTGAGATATGCGCCTTGGAGTTTCTTAACGGAAGCATATCTCGAGAAGCAGAAGAGCTATCAAAAAGTTATCAACTAGCAAAATGTGTAAAATTTGATTTTAAACATTTTTCTAGTTTTCACCTTTTTAATAGCTACAGTAGTTTTTGAGATATGTGTCTTTAAAGATAACACGCTCCTCTCCCATTTCCAGGCAAAGTTTCAAGGTCATGTATCTCAGATAAGAACAGCGCGACATTATGTAAAGATATTATGTAAAGATATTTATATATGAACATTGAAAACCATCTGTTGCTTTGAGAGAGTGTGGCGGCTCGAGAGACGCTGAGAAATGACAGAGAGTACAGAGGATGGAGAGACTCAGAAGACGTCCTATTGTAAAATCGCGTCCTTCAATTCTCTTTCCGGACGTCCTGACTGAATGGACGTCTAAATATTTTTGGAAATGAATTCTCTGAAAATCCAAAAAATGAATGGATTTACGAGAATTTTTCCCTTATTTTTCTGAATATCCCCACAGAAACTTTTGACAAAGAAGTTTTCTATTTTTTGATTCTTCTGAGAAAGGTTAGTTTCCAAAATTTGTCTGAAACTTTCAAAATACATTAAAAGTGAGTTAAACTTCATTTTTGTAGTGGAAAATTTCTGTGTAGCTACTGTAGTTTTTGAGATATGCGCCTTTGAAGTACGCTCACCCCTAGAGTCTCCTTTCTCTGCGTCTCCAAAGGAGGTGCGCAGTTTTAAAGGCGCGTATCTCAAAAAGTATAGCAGTTAGCAAAATTTTAAAACCATAGAAATGTGTAAAATTGAATGTTCTTTTTTTTTGTAGTTTGTAGTATTCTCATAGCTATCGTAGCTTTAGAGATATGCGCCTTTAAAGTTACTATGTACAGGAAAGCGCCTTATCGACAAATGATTTGTCGACAAACGCCCTTTTCGACAAATTTATCGACAAATTTACCGGTAAATTTAGCGAAAAATTACCGACAATTTGTCGATAAATTTGTCGATAAAAATGCTCTTTGTCGACAATTTATCGACAAATTTATCGACAAATTGTGGACAAATTGTCGACAAAAATTGCTATTAACCGCCGGAATTACTTGTAAAAACAAATAGTGTTACCATTTTTTTCCTACGACGTCTTTGATGATGGCCGAACTTACCCATGCAAAATTGATGGGCCATCTGGCTTGGTGGCCTAACTTTCCCAAAATGAATTTTTTAGGCCACATATTTTTTTGCCTTAGAAATGATCTGATGTTCACCTGGTTTGTTTTGCAGGTCATTTTAACATGGTGGCCTAACTTTCGCAAGTTGACTTTTCTAGGCCACCATGTAAACATGACCTAGAAAACAAACCAGATGGATATCTGACCATTTCTAGGCCAAAAAGTTTGGTGGCCTAGAAAATTCATATTGGAAAAATTAGGCCACCAGATCAGATGGCCTACAAAAAAAATGTGAAATGCGATTTTTTACAAGTAATTCCTGCGGTTAATAGCAATTTTTGTCGATAATTTGTCACGAAAATTTGTCGACAAAATCTGAAAATCTTTGTCGATAAGGCATACTGAAAAGCGGCATGTCTCAACTCAAAAACTAAAAAAGTTATCAAAAATTATAAACCACAGAAACGTGGGAAATTTTAAGCCTTTTAAGTTTGTAGTTGACAATTTTTAGAAAGCTTTTCTAGCTTTTGAGATATGCGCTTTTATAGCTGGTGCCCCTCTCCTAGGCGCTACTTAGGAAACTTAGGAAAAACTTAGGAAAAACTTTTAAAAAAAGTTGAAAAAGTAGTTTACATTTGTTCAGATAGAAACAACATAAGCTACTGCATTTTCCATCCAAAAATATTCCACTTTTTCAAATTTGTATCATCAGAGACTTTTTATTTGTTCATTTCGTAGTTTTCTGAAATTTCAGATATTCAATCTTGGATTTTGTGGCTTTTCTTGATCCTTCTTTTTCTCTGGTCACTAATTTTAATTTTAACTTTAAAGACTTTTCCAGAAAAATGCAACATCTTCACTTGGTTTCTCAACAACTCGTAAAAATGGAGGTTCCAGAGAACCATCAAGTTCCGGAAGACGTAAGCCAACGAGAAATCTTCGATTTATAAAAAATCCCAATTTCAGATTGGAATGTTGCCGATCCAACTTATGAAAACTCCAGATGCAGGATCGTCATTCAGTTTTTCGACTGCGGGAAAAAAATGGAGATTCCAGAAAACCTCCAAGTTTCGGAAAACGTGAGCTCATGCGATACTCAATTTTTAGAAATATCGTGATATTAAGACTGGAATCTTGCCAATGGAAATTCTGACAACTCCTGATCCATTATCGTCACTCAGTTTTCTGGCTATGGAAAGAAAAATAGAGATCCCAGAAAACATCCAAGCTCCGGAAGACGTACGCCCATGAAATACTTCAATTTTGAAAAAAATCCTAATTTCAGATCGGAATCTCTCCAATAGGATTCACGAACAACTTCAAAAAACCACCGAAAACAAAACGCACGCGTAGATCACACTGCGAAGTGGCAACACAAATCCTTCAAGCTTATTTCGAAACTTCTCAACATCCCAGTGGTTTGCAAATGGCGCAATTTGCGGAGGCTACAGGTCTGAACAACAAGCAGGTCAAAGCATGGTTTTCGAATAAGAGAAGGAGCATGAGAGTTCAGCAAATGAGGGAAGAGGGAAGGAAATGAGGGAAGGAAACTTAGGAAAAAAGGCGCTACTTAGGAAAAAAAAATACTTAGGAAAAAAAAGCTTAGGAAAGACCAACTTTGAAGGCGCATATCTCAAAAACCAAGAGAGATATCAAAAAGTTGTAAACTACAAAAGTGTGGGAAATTTTAACCGTTTCATGTTTGTAGTTAACAATTTTTGAATAGCTTCTCTAGTTTTTGAGATACGTGCCTTTAAAGATGGCTCCCCCCCCCCTTCTTTATCCGGATAGGGTGTGCCTACTTTAGCTACTCGAAAACTGTCAACCAAAAAAAGTTTGTCAAATTTCATGCTCTTCAATTTATTAATTAACAAAATGTCGTTCTCATCTTGTTTCTTAGAAAAATGCCAAATTTCCAGGACGACTCTCGTTCCAAGATTATTCGTAGTGGGAAGACAAGCTCATCTTCATAATGAAAGAGACAAGAGTATGCAAAAGAACGGAACTGAAACTGGGTTGTTTGGTTAACGTCTGGTAAGATTTTTTGAAGGAAAAATACGATTAAATGTTTCCCAGTTCACGCTCTCCCACAGAACAATTCCGAACTGCAAATTAATTTTTGATCTACAGAAAAAAGTTTGGCGCGATCACAATTGCATGTCTAAAACCAAAATTTCAGAATTTTTTATCTGATTTTGTGGAGTTCCAAAATGATTCAAATGATTCTTAAAAAATTAATTAGTGGTTATAGATTCATGTATGGTCGTTTTCCGAAAGAAAAAATGTCAAAAATGGTCATTTTTGAAAAGTTTTTTACAGAAAAAATCTATCTCCTCTTTCAGTTTTTGACATTTCTAGGAGTTCTATAGCTCAAAAAAACCGCAATTATTTTCTCTACATTTTCTATGGATGAATTTTTAATTTGTCTGATAAAACTTTTTTTATAAT